GAATCTTCCCGCAAAAAAACATTTGACGTTCTCCGATTATGTAGTGAAGCGCCATCACCGATTAATGTTTATAATCCGTCTTTTTGTTTTTTTACGTGAAAATTGTCACAACAAAGCGGGACCGAGTTAACACATTTGTCTTGCCGTTAACATGTCGGCATGTGTAAAGAAACTTGCGGCGCTATTGCCTGATATCTATTTCTATCATTTTGTCCAATCATAATCAAGTGGTATTAATCACCAAGCTCCAATACAATGGATAACAATTTCTATATCGATGTACTCATTCTTGTTTCGTTTGATGGCCCACCGTTACAGCGTTCAAGGGCCATCATACGATCTATGTTGGATAGTTCACATATATTCAACATCAACAATCCTATAATTGCAGTTCTTTCTCCATATACGGGGTCCTAGTTTCTACGAAGATGTGAAAAGTTTACACGTTCGTCGTGCCATTAAAACGTCGGCATTGGAAGTGAATAGACGGTACTGCTCTTAGGAAGCGCGAATAATTACTACATCATGCAGTATCCTCCAAATGAATATCTTACAACGATTACTATCATGACTTCATATAAATAAGAGATGGGCTTCCGTGTACAGTGACAATGCGCTTTGCTGAATCTTGCCGCATAACATATTTTGACGTTCTCCAATTATGTAGTCGAAGCGCCATCACGGGTGGATGTACAACGATTACTATGACTTCATATATTCATACATATAAGAGATGCGCTTCTGTGTACAGTGACAAGGCGCTTTGCTGAATCTTGAATTGCCGCATAAAACATTTTGACGTTCTCCGATTATGTAGTGGAAGCGCCATCACCGATTAATGTTTATTATCCGTCTTTTTTGTTTGTTTTTGTTTGTTTGTTACGTGACAATTGTCACAACAAAGCTTGACCGAGTTAACACATTTGTCGTGCCGTTAACATGTGTAAAGAAACTTGTGGCGCTATTGCCTAATATCTATTTCTATCATTTTGTCCAACCATAATGATCAACTGGTATTAATCATCATCGAGCGCCGATACAATGAATAATAGTTTCTAATCTATAGTTTTCTTTAATGACTAACTTTTAAGTGCATAGCAATATGCCAATTTTGTTCATTTTTCATGCAATTAAACACAGACTATAAAATGGCAAAATATGCCGACACTGACAGAGTGATGGCGCTTGAACTCCTTGTCATGCTTATCCAACAATGTCGGAACAAGTTCTCACCTGCGAGAAAATAAAACTCGTGTTAGTTCGAATCGCTATCCGTTGAACATGTGAGACATATATCTTTCTGGTGTTTAGCTCTCGTTATACCGCTTATATTTGAAGATGCAATGCAACGTAATTGCTTCATTGTATATTTTACATCATAATATGTGATTGAAATGTCAGTGCGAGTATGTTGTATGAGGACAAATACAAAGCTATTATTAATATATATTTATTATTATTATTAACTGTTCACAATAATATATAAATTTGTTTTATACATACGTAGGTTATTAATAGTACAAAGCAAAGAATGTGTAGAATAATGCTATCTGCAACCACACTCCTGGACAATCATGTCTTCGTGTTCTTTAACAACGATATTGCCACGTTCATAGTATATCATACTTAAGGGCGATAATTTTACAGGAACACAGCTCGGAGTCGGAACGTGGTTTGAACTCACTTTGCGGACCATGCCCTGTATAATAGCATGGTTAGTGGGATTACCATCCGCTCGACTGGAACACGATCCAACACATTGAAAAGCATTAAAGGTTTTTGGAAAAATAACCCAAGCGCTCCATCCAATTTTCTCAAAGTCTACCATTAGATCAGATTTTTCACATGGATATGGAGGTCTGTCAACTAGCTTATTATTTTTCTTGCCATTTCCTCTCTTTTTCTGTCGTTTTCCACTGGATTCGTCGGGAGCTCGTATGACACGATTAAGAGGAAATATATTATTTTCCTGGCGATATAGTCTCTTGTCAGATTTCTTGTACTTCTTCTGTGTCTGTGTGAATGTAACCAGTATGGCTTCATTGTTGATAACCCACATTTTTGCCTTTGAAGTATCATCGTTGTCATATGCAATACCGAGTTTTAAGGTGAAATTTACACTCTTCGACTTCACCAATCGTCTGACAAGTTTGGTGACTTTCAACAAAACCATGGCGTTGTTATTTTTTAAACATACATTTTTCACTCTGTGTGAAATAATTGAATC